TGATGCAGAAATTTTCGTTGGAATCTGAAGTATTTGAAAATCCCGGGGATTTTTTTCAGCGACTACTTCACGTGACTCATTGACCAATCAAAATTGCGGATTAGCGGTCAGGCAGTTTCGAGATATTTCGATATAAAACAACTTCACGTTTCTTTCATCTTCAGTAAATAGGATTTTATCTTTAGTAAATAGGATAGTAAACTCCCCTTAATGAAGATGCAACAACTATTCCCAATCTTGAAGTCTCAAAATTTCGCGACTGCTCTATTCAACGTTAATTTCATGAAGTTAAATTCCTTTAGTTAATCCGCGCGGTTGGGACAGGTCAAGTCACCTCAGGGATTCCCAGGTGTCCCCTGGAGTTGTCTCAGGTAACCGCGCCAACTTGCCACCAAAGATCAACCGTCCGTTCTTTCTCTTCCTCCTCCGTGCCCCCTTCTCTCAACATTATTTCCTGACAAAAGAGCACAGGACCAAGTCCATTGTCATACCGCTCGCATAAACGAAATTGCTGCCCTCTCCTGCATTTATTCTTCCCCTACTCCAAAGGCTCAATGCATTTGGGCGAAGCAGGTGTGTGACAAGGAGAAGCAAAGAGCCTCTTCCCTAATACCCACCACACATTTTTGAGGAAAAAAAAACCGTGGAGGGTGAAGTTTGTAAAAGCCGTCAGACATAGCCATCTCCACTCGACCCAGCACCGCACCCCCCTGACGGCCTTATTCCCTAGCTCCCCTCCTTTTACCTGGCAACAGTGTGAAGCCGGCGAGAGCCAGGGGACGTTCGAAACTCCGTGGAGTTTACCATCAGAGATAGCCAAATTTGTAATATTTTATTTCAGATACTTTTGTAGCCCTCAATTAGATAACATCGCTCTTGAAATTTTTTGAGTACTTAAAGTAGCTCTACCCTTCGGCTGGGCTACGCTGTAGTTTTGGGTATTTTAAGTTTTCAAATTTTTCAACTAAATTGCATGGAAAAAATTTTAAAAATTCATACCCAGTCAGTATTATCTAAATTAAATTTCGCAAAATACTGACATTTTTTCAATCATTTCCCTCTTATGAATAAATACCAAAACTTGTTCGCAAAACGGTGGATTATTTTTTGAGGTGTCACAAAAATTCCTGATTTTTTCACATCTAATGAGAAAAAACCAGATTTTAATCTTTGATTACAATAGAAATGTTGATTTTCACATAAGACACTGGGTTTAATCCTGATTTTTAAACTTTTCTTCTTTGAAAAACCACGACGATAATTAAATTGACAAAAAAATTAGAATTCCGAATCTAATTGAGTTTTCTGCAATTTTTTTGCAGTTTTCAATAATCTTTGAATTTACTGTAAGGGTAGACCTATTTTAACCCTAGATTGGTCATCATATGAGGGGAAATGCCGCAGCCCGTCGTTTTTCTTTAATTGCCATTGAATGGCTGATCGGAAAAAGTCCAAAAGATTTGACTTTTCCAATTAAAGTATCTAAAAAATTAGAGTAGTTTCAGAACAACATAATTCTCGAAATTCCTGAAGAAAACTATTTTTTTCTCACAGAGGAATTATTTTTTCCCATGTTGAATGAAAATGCCTGTTACGCGACGTTGCCGGAAACTCGCTAAACGCGCCCGGGCAGTGTAGAGTGAATTTGGCAACGTTCGGGCCTAAATAACACGGTGGCACTTCCCCGCGGACGTGACCAAAGTCGTTAGGTCGCGTAGGGTGACCAGACTAGGGTTAAGTATCATCAATTCAAACATTAAAATTCTCAACTATTTTATCAATCAATAATTTGAGGTAGGAAGACTGACGATTACTTCATTGTTAAAAAAATTTAACTGAATTTTTTAGAAAATGACACTGAATTCAATTTAACGGAAAAAAGTCTATGAAATTTCCAGTTTCCCTGAAAATTCAAGGAAATTCCTGATTTTTCAGTGGAAGAACCATGAAGATTCCGAAATTTCCATGAATTTTCAATGTAAACATGATAATTCAATAAGAAATTGCTCTGAAATTTCAAAAAATTGAAAATTCAAGGACATTTTTGCTTGATTTTTCCTCATTTCTATTAATTTTCATGGAATAATTTAACTAAAATTTGAAACTTCCATGAATTTTCAATGGTAAAATTCCCTGAAATTTCAATGAAACCGTCACTTGTTCCATATTTCAAGACTAAAGCCTGGGACCTTCAGTGAAAAATTTTTAACAGTGTTGTGTAATCGAAAATCCCCTTTCAAGAAATTTGAATTATTCACTTAGTAGTAAATTTACAGTTTCATATCAACAAATTTTAAATATATCATTAAATATATCATTAAAATATATCATTTAAATATATCATTATTCGTAAAAAAATCGGATTATTAATATTATATTATTTAAAAAATTGAATCAACATATTTTAAACCTTCAATAATGTAAGGGTCAAATCCTTGTAATATTACAGAAATTTAATATGGATGGGGATCCCTATTTACCATCATATACCTACGATACCCTCTAAATCCAGAGATTTCTCTGCTCTTTTGTTGGCTCATCCTCTGCGCATTCCTCAAAATGCACTCTTCAGGAATTTCATTCTAGAACGTAGTGGTAAGTGGAGATCGCGTGTCCAAACATTTTAAACAAATCATTCAGAGAATATCTGTGGAAGTGGTTTAATCGGAAATATTGAAGTATAAAAAAAGCTTCGTGAAAGATTTTTATGAATTCGCTCCCAGATATGTCGAAAGTAATCAATAGCGATGTCATTTCATGTTGCTAGGGCCGAAAACCGCGAGGCGGTTCACGAGAGGGCGATGTCAATTCGATTTGGGGGGACAAAAATTATTGAGTTTCGAATTTCAATGGAAATTCAATGGAGTTCGGAATTTTGAGCAGCAGAAGGATGAAAATTTCGGAACTTGCTTGAAATTTGAATGGAATCATGAAAATTGAGTGCCAAATTACCCAGAATTTTCTATTAATTGAAAATTGATGAATAAATTGACCTGAATTGTTCTGATTTTCATTAAATTTAATGGTTTAATTGACCTGAAATTTATTATTTCCATTTATATTTTCATCAAGTTGTGAATTTTCAATTATGAAATTCCTTAGAATTTCAGTGGAACTGAACTCGACCGGAAATTTAAACAATTTTTTTTTCAACATCTACTTGAATTTCCAATAAAAACATCAGTATTCAATACCAATTTACATTAATTTCACAATTAATTGGAAATTCAACTGATTTCCATTCAATTTCATAAAATAATTTAACGAAAATTTACTGTTTCTATTGATTGTTTCATCAAATTGGAAATTTCAATTATGAAGTTCCTTGAAATTTGAGTGGAACTGTCACTTGATAAAAATTCAAGAATACAGTTGCTTGAATTGTCTCGATTTCTCTTCATTTCCATGGACTAATTGAACTGACATATTCATCTGAAATTTCAGTAGAACTGGAAATTTCCGCCACAAATTTTCAGTACTATATATGAATTTTCACTAAAATCATAAATACTCAATTAATTAAAAATTCAAGATTATATTCAATTGGAATTTACTGACTTCTATTAATTGTCATGGAATAATTTAACTGAAATCTAAAGTTTCTACTGATTTTCTCATGAAATTGAAAATTTCTAATGACTAAATTCCTTGAAATTTCAGTGAACCTGTCGCTTGATAAAAATTTCTACAAAATTTCATCCAGTAATTTCTAACCGCGCGGGAATTTTTTTTTTCAGGATGAATTAGAGAATAAAAAATTTGTTAATTGCCAGCATGAACTGCGTAGCAGGTGCACCCACACTATTGTAAATTTTTGGCTGAAATTTCTGCTATATTTTTCGGACATTTTCATCACATTTTAGTTCCACTGAAAATTCAAGGAAATTTGTTATTGAAAAATCCGAATTTCATGTAAAAATCAATGAGAACTGCAACTTTCAGTTCAATTGTTCTCTGAAAATCAGTAGAAATCAGAAAAATTTAGGTAAATATATTCTTGAATTTTCAGATAATTGAAAAAATAACAAGGAAAACAAGAATAACAAGGACAAATTTCAATGACGAAATTCCTTAAAATGAAATTCAAGGAATTTCGTAAACATTAATGAGAGCTGTAAATTTCAACTCAGCTACTCCCTGTAAATCAGTAGAAATCAGGAAAATTCGACTAAATATATTCTTGATTTATCAATTAATTGAAAGTTCACCGTAATTTAGCACTGAATATTCATGATTTCACTAAAATTCGTAATGGGTTGAGGAATTCTATCTCAATGCTGTTTGAAATGAGAAATTTCATTGGATTATCAGTGAAATCTAAAATATCATGATATTTTTTCCCTTAAATCCAAGTCAATGTCACTCTCCTGAAAATTACCAGCCGACTGTTCGTGAAATAATTTTTTTTTTAACAGTGCACATTAAATCTAATATGACTACAATCTTTCGTTGTTTTCCATTCTCCTGATCCAAAAAAATTCACCTTTCTAAGGATAAACATTCTGAGGAAAAAGAAAAACGTTAGGGAAATGAAAGCCTTACCCAGGTGCGTGTGATAAATTTTCAATGATGAAATTCAGAATTTCATGCAAAAATCAACGAGAACTGTGAATTTCAGCTCAATTCAGGTAAATATAGTCTTGAATTTTCAATTAATTGAAAATTTGTCGTAATTCAGCACTGAATATTCATGATTTCACTGAAATTTCAAATTAAAAGAAGAATTCAAATCTCAATGTTCAAAAATGAGAACTTTCATTGAATTTTCAGTGAAATCTGAAATATCATGATTTCCTCCCTTAAATCCCATTCAATGTCACTCTCCTAGAAATTACTAGTCGATTGTCCATGAAATTTCAGTTTTTTTCAACAGTAAACATCAAGTCCAATGTGACTACAATCTTTCGTTATTTTCCCTTCTCCCGATAAAAAAAAATTCACCTTTCTAAGGATAAACACTCTGAAGAAAAAGAAAAACGTTAGTGAAATGAAAGCCTTACCCAGGTACGTGTGGTACATCGATAGAGTGCGACGTAACGCGTTTACGATCACTAGTCATATCAGCCATCCTCGCAAAATCTGTTTTCTGATCAGCCAATCGTGCACTCTTGCGAGACTCCAACAGACGTACTTCTTCTATACGTTTTGTCAGACTCACCGGACCCTGCAACACCAAAACAATTCCATGATTTTTTTTTTCAAATACCATTCTCCAAGTACGTCATTAAGTAATTAATCATTAATGATAAATCCGAATTTATGGGTTTGGCTCTGGTTCGATGAGTTTGTTGATATCTTTGGTTGAATTGGAGGCGTATAGTGGGGTGAAGGGGAAATGGGCAATGAAATTGAAAGGATTATAATGAAAACATGTGGTATAGGAGACAGTATTTATGGTGAAAAGAAGGCCACAGTAGCAACAGCAAACTTTCACCGACTTTCAAATTTCCCCGGTATGTTGAACCGCGATAGAGCATGTGGATTTAATGTTGAGGTAATGGGAACTGCGGTCTTATCTACCAAATGCATAAGAATTTATCATGAGTTGTTGGCTCAACTTCCAAATGAATTTGTGAATATCTTCCAGAGCTCGAGGCTTAGATCCTTCGTTGCAAATTTCCTCTACTTGGTAGAAATCTGCAGATTTTTTCCTCTGAACCCATCAGCTTTACAGATTTTCGCTGGAGAATGTCTTGGAAATTTCATTCATTAGTTTCGATTTTCATGAGATACAGATCATCTACCTTTCACACGTAAAACATCCTCTCACCTTCACAAAACTTTGATTTATCTGCTTTCACTTGATCGAAGCCAGTGATTTTCCCCAGGAAAAAGAAAAATGTTTGGAAATATAAACAGGAACAAGTGGAAAATTGCTTTTGTCAGAGCATAGTCAATATATTTTTGCTAATAAATGAGCCATTTGCTACCGAATGGAATTTTTATGACAATGTATTTTTAACTGAACTCAATGATTCATTGAATTCCGGTAATATCACTCTTAATCACCCAACTTATTCTCATTTAATTCATCATTTGAACAACTCATGATGAATTTAATTTTCTTCGATAAATGTCGATTGAACGTTACAATGGGTATCAGATGTTTTCCTTTTCGCATAATCTTTGAGTTATCCTTGATTCTTTGGATTGATTTAACATTGCCCCAACGTTGGCCGCCAACATTGCATCGACATTGTCCCAACGTTGATAGTCAAAATTATCTCAACGTTAACAGTTAACATTGGCCCAACGTTAGCATTCAACGTTGTCCCAACGTTGATAGCCAACATTACCTCAACGTTAATACAGTGGATTCTGGTTAGAGGCACATTGGTTAGTGTCGAACTTCCCCTCAATTTTTTTGTCTCGCCACTCGAGCGCTTCCCCCACTCTGTCCCCACGCTAGCCGTAGAGTAAACACTCCAATATTTTCTTCAAATTGCTATTGCCTTCCGATTCCAGTAAAGACTAAAAATAAAATATTCTGCATTTGAATTGTCGATCAAAAAATTTAGTCCACTTCTGGCTGTCATGGGGGGAGGATCTCGTTTTGTTGGCATAAAATTAATTCGAAATTGGATTAAATCAAATAATGAAGGGAGGTAAAGAAAACGACTGTAACATTTTTGATTCACATGGTTCGTTAACTCCAGAAGAAATATCTGTTCTATGGAATGTTAGGTACAAAGCTTCTGTGATCAAATATAGTCAATGAAATTGAAAATATTGATAATAAAAAAATCGTCTGAATCTATATGAATATTGCTATTATAGTTGAAACTGTGAACTAAAGTTTATCATTAAAATAAAGTGTTGAATTGAGAGAGAAAAGAAATAGTATTTTTCATTTTATCGTTCCCAGTTCTCGGAAGTCGGGCTCGGCGTGAGCGCGT